CGCCGCCGCGGGCACGTCCTCGCCCGCCGTAGCTGCGCCCCAGAAATGACCCCCGGAACACTCTTCACCCAGTTTCTCAATGAGGACGTGAGGGGCGACGTCCCTTTTCCAGGCCACCTGGCTGGTGTTGGTTGCTTGGCCGCGCCTTCTCTTGGGAGGGGTCTCCATGCCCGGCCTCACCCCGGAGTTCCCTTCTCTGGTCAGTCCAAGCGGGCATCGCTCTGGTGGGTGGCAGGAGAGAGGACCGAAGATCTCCGAGGGCACTCAGCTCCCACCGTCCCCACACAGAGCCCCACGCTTCGGAGTGAACGGAGAGCCACCATCTCTGCCTTCTGGGATCGGGGTCCTGGGGTGTCCGGAGTCAAAGACACAATCTTGAGATTTAGGAGCTATTGGGGCCTGGGGGCAGCCAGCAGTGACCCAGAGAGATCTGAGATTTCTGGGCCCTTCTTTCCTGTAGGCCACCTTATCCCGAACGTGGCTCCTGGGGATGAATGAGGCACGAATACTTTGCAGTGTATAAGCGGGATGAGAGTGCAGGCACTGCGAATCCACTGTAGGGCCTCCGAGCCAGACAAGACCCTGCCCTCTTTGGGCCTCAATTTCCCCATCTGTAAAATGAGGGAATTAGACCAGCCTCCTGTTCAGCTCTGATGTCAAGCTTGAGAAAGGAGAGGTACCCACATCCTTACCCCTTCGCGCACCCTCCAGCAAGAGCAGGGCAAGACTGCGTTGACTAGGTTGACTTCTCTGCGGCTGAAGCAGTTCCCAGCTGCGACGGATCCCAGGGGTTGCGCCCCGCCTGCCCACACTTTCCCTGCTACCTGCCCATGTTTTCTCCAGTTCCGGCCGTGGGCGCCCTCTGGTGTCGTCTCACACCTTGCAGAATTCCCGTAGGGGGTTTTTGTAAAATTAAAAAAAAAAAAAAAACTATAATAATATTAATAAAAAGTATAAAGTGTATAGAGTTTTCAAGAAACCGTGTTCTAATTCCAGAAAATGGTCACTTTAACTTTGTAAATATTTATCTTAAAATGATATTTACAAACTGTGATATATATTATTTGATTGTATATGTACAACTGTAAATACATTTGTACCTCTCTTGTATTCTAAAATAAAAATTACTTGGAACATTTATCACCTGGCATCTGAGTGGGTGGTTACTTCTGTCTTCATGAGAAGGAAATATAGAAAGTGCTCAGAAGCTGGAAAGGGGGTTGGTGAGATTGTTCCACTCACTGGGGCTGTAATCCACCATTGTGCTCTTGGTGTCACACTAGGTGCAAAGCCCAAAGAGAAGGGCCCCAGTGCGCATCTGGAAGTCATAGAAGGGACCCGGCAGATTTCTCTTGGCTTCCAGCTGACTCACCTCATTTATTATTTTCCCAAACACTTTTTAAAAAAATTTTTATGACCAAATTGAAGGGGTTCAGGGAACCAATGGGGGTGGACCAAAATGACCACCAAGTGCCCTCCCAACGCCTAGTCTTTCCAAGTGCCCGGCACCAGAGCCACTTAAAAGAAGACCAGGGAGCAGGAAGGCTGTCAGGTTAGGTCTGAGAGACTTCATGGACAACATAAGGCTAGACACGGCTCTCCTGTCCAGGACTTCCTGGTCAGTGAGAGTGTGCAGGCTGGATAGTGTGAGTCTGAGTCTGTGCTCCAGCGTGTGCCACCCTTTCAACAGATCGTGTGTTCAAGCTTCTCATGGGCATGCTTCTCTGCTTCCTCGTTCACTTGTGCACTTGCTGAATAGCTGCACACACCTGCAGATGCTTGGGAATTCACACTAGCACATAGAGGCTGTTCCTGTTTGGAAGTTCAGAGGGTATGCCTCAAATCCTCCTAAAGCTTTGGGAGATTAATCTTGCACCATGGAGGAGGGGCACAGGCAGAGAAGCCTACAGGCAGATAGCATCATGGGTTTGCTCTCTATGCTCAACAGCAGGAGTCACCCTTGATTCCCCTCCTCCCTCCCAAACCTTGCCTCTCCTTTGAAGGATTCCAACGCCTCTGGTGGACCCTACATTACCCTTCTTGCACTTCAGTACCCACCCAGGTCTCCTGTTCCCTAGATCAAATCTTATGTGTCCGGAGTCCCCTTTCCTCCTGGCCCACATGTTGGTCTCCCAGCAAGTAATGCTAGAGTCCTGAAGAAAGGCCTACAGGAGTCAGATGGCAAAGAAGGCAATGGGCCTTTTGAACAAAAATCTAATTTGTTCTTTATAGATAATTTTGTTCCATGAAGTCTCAGCTCTCCTACCACAGGGGTCACGCCCAGGCTCCAGAACCCACCTGGTGTCAATATGCCATAATTGCAGTCCCATGCCTCCGGGATGCTGACTGACCTGCCTGCCCAGAAGAGTACTGCTATGTGTGCCAGGGCTTGCATTTGGGACACAAGAATGAGAGGCTGTGAACTGTGGTCCTGAGGAGCCTTCAAACTGGAAGGAGGGCTGTGCATTCGAGCAGAAGCCTTAAGCCCCTTTCTGGAGTGCAGAACTCTGGCCTCCAGACAAAGGCAGGCAAATCTTTGAAGCAATTTCTGTGTATAGTGGTTTTTTTTTTTTTTTTTTTTTTTTTAGAGAAAGAGAGAGAGAGAATTTTAATATTTATTTTTTTATTTTTTTCGGTGGACACAACATCTTTGTTTGTATGTGGTGCTGAGGATCGAACCCCGGCCGCATGCATGCCAGGCGAGCGCACTACCGCTTGAGCCATATCCCCAGCCCCTGTGCATAGTGTTTAAACACATGTATTGTGTGAATGATCTCCACATACCCATGCACTACCACTGTCCCACTTTTCTCCTGATGCATTTTTATTTAATGTCCATGTGAAATAAAAGAAAATTGAGACATGGAGGGATAAGTCATATGTTCTGGCACTCAGTCACTGAATGGCCAAGCAAGGTTTCACCTCTGGTGTCTAACTCCAGAAGCCATCTGTCCACAACACCTCCTAATCAGTCTGAAGATTCAGTCCAAAGTGCTTTCTGCATATCCCACAAGGACGAAGCGTATAATGTCCTTGTATCCTCCAATTTAGCAAGACTCAGGTATTCATCATGAGTCCTTGTATGTTCCTTAGGGCTTTGTACCTGATCATATTGTCTGTGAATAAATAATCAAGCATGCTTTTGCCTCTTTCCTTCCCATTGGGATGCCTTTTTCCCCCCTTGTGTTATTGCATGGTTTAGGACCTCTAGTGACAGAAGATCCTAAATGGAGGCCAAAGGTGTGGGTTTGAAACTCCGCTCTGCCATTCATTAGCCATGTGACCTTAGGCAAGTCAATTAACATCTGTGTGCCTCACGCTTCTCAGATGGAAAGTGGGATGATGCTTAATTCCTAAGGATATCATGAGGATTAGACAGGATAATGTATATAAATGAATAAAATACATGGCTCTCCACATAGTAAATAATAAATGGGAGCTGTTGTTAATGGAATGCTACCTTTGGTGAGTGACAAGTGTCATAGCAGCTTTTCTGCCCTCCCCCCACTTCCTTTCCTCTCTCTGAATATCTTAACACCCTGACAGCTGGGGTAGCAAATGACCCAGCTCTGTGACCCCACAGTACATAGTGGGTGCCCAGCAAACATCTGTTGAATAAATTTATTCATTCATTCAACAAATATTTATTGAAGGCTGTTTTAAGGGTCCCCAGGATTTGTTTCAATTAATTGTAGACAGGCAGGCATGGTAATGACTGTCATGAAGAAAGAACTTGGTTATAACCCAGATGTCCCTAGAAACAGGAGGCAGAACATGCAGGCCCACATGGAGAAACACTGGGGCTGGTCAGGAAGCAGAGGGAACCAGGGGAGAATGTGGGTGAGAGCCATCTTTGTGCTTTCCATGGGAAGGAATGGGCAAGGCAGGATAAGCAGGCTTAGGATTGGCTAGTTTGGATAATTTCCACAGGCTCTGGGGGCAAAGAGGCTGTCCCTAGCTATCTGTCACCTGGACCTGGGGCAGGGGATAGTGGCCCCAAGTGAGAGAGCCCAATAAAGGAGGTGTTGTGGATGTGGGTTCTGCACTAATGGACTTCACTGGAAACACATGTTCTAGGGTGAGTCTTTACTGTCCCTAGCAATGGGTTAACTCTGGGAGGGGCAATCCTGCAGGGTCAGTAAGGCTCCCAGAAGTTAAAGCATCAGAATATGAAAAACCAAAGGCATGGTTAATATAAGCGTCTACCATAAATCAAGTACAGTTCAGGAGACTGGCCAGCAAACCAAATAGACCAAGCCTGGATATTCATGGGGCTCACCACCTGTGGAGGAATCAGATGAGCAAATAAATAAACAAACATGTTTTCTTAATATATCTTATTTTTCCAACAAATATTTTATGGCTGCTCTCTCTCTGCCTGATGTGATATTTAGGGCTGAACCAAATAGTCTAAGTTCTGGTTTCAGGAATGGTCCCTATTTCTGATGGGAGGAGGGGTTTGGGAGATTGTTATAAACAAAAAGGTAAACCAGAGAACCCCAGTGATGTGAAATACAACAGGGTCAAGAAGGGATTGGAGTGTTTTCCAGATAAGGAAGCTAGGGACTTCTTCTCTGGGGAGGGAATAGTTGAACAAGGTATGAGAGGAGAAGGTATTGACCACACAAAGTCCTGGGAGAAAGAGCCAAAAGCAAACTGATCCTGGGGTGGTGATGAGTGTGTTGTTCAAGGGACCAAGGGGAGGCCCGTGGATCTGGCCGCAGCCCAATGAGTAATGGCAACGGTTCAGGAGGAGAGTGAAGTCAGAGACAGGCAGGGGCCTCAGTGATGAGTTTGGATTTTATTCTTAGTGTAAAGGGAAGTTGCCAGAAGTGTTTTAAGCAGGGAAGTGATTTAATAGTGATCTATTTTTAAAAGCTCCCTCTAGTTGCTATGGTGTGTGTGTGTGTGTGTGTGTGTGTGTGTGTGGGTGTGTGTGTGTGTGTGTTGTGTGTGTGCAATGCAAAGTTAGGGAGGTAAGAGAGGAGGTTGTTAGAGTTGTCCTGGTGAAAGGCAACTTTGATCAGCTTGTGGAGGCACACAGATCTGGGAGGAATTGGTGGACGTTGGACCTTACCTGCCATTGAAATCACACCGAGTGTTGAAACACACACAGACTTCTGAACCCTACCTTTGCAGAGACTCAATACCTGAATCTGGTCTTAGAAATCTGTATGCTTCACTAATCACCCAGGGTGGTCCAGCTGTTTCTGGTGCCCACTCCTCTGCATGGTGAAGCAGGGATGAGTTGTGTGTGTGTGTGGTGGTGGTGGTGGTGGGGAATCCAGTGTCTTGGATTCTAGTCCTAGCTGCAAATTTGTTTTAGGAACTCAGGAGCCCCAAACTATCTTCAAGAATAGCCAGATGTGCCTTCTAGAGGGGTCAACTTGAGGAATAAATAACCCCATGTTTGTAAAGCACTCAGCAAAGGGCCAGCAAGGCACCCAGGACATGTTTGGTAAAGGTGCAGGCTTTGGGGGAACACAGGAGTGGTTGGAACAAGCATCAGGCCACTATGAATTCTAGTCCTTTGGAGGGGGGCTCCATTGCCTCCTGGATAAACAGGTATCCATAATGCCAATCCACAATGCCTATCACAATGCCTCGTGATAGGCTCGGGAATGTGAGTGCTGTGGGAGGGGTGAAGGTTAAATGTCTCCCTCTCTGGGACGATTCCAGGACTACACTCCTCATTCCTTGAATTGCCAGGGCTATGTTGGTTCAAAGGACACCATCGCCCTCTTATGGCCATAGCCAGACGCAACAGATAGGTGGTTCTTGCACTTTCTTGGCTCTACTGTCTTCTAGGCAGGGAAGGAGACGGTGTGTCTGCCCACTCGGGCACTAGCATTTATGTTGTCTACTGGGGCACTAGCATTTATGTCGTGTACTGCCTGGCAGGGTTGGCTTTCTTCACAAGTGTAGTTGTGAGCCTTGCTTAGGTGAAGGAAATGCTGTCCTTGTGGAGATTTATTGGTCTGATGAATCTTCAGGACATGATGGGCTTGATGCACCTGATTTCCTGACCTCAGCGTGGGAGTGTGTGGCTCATGCAAGCTGTTTGGTTTAATCCTCTTTAGAGTCCCTGGAGAGAAATCTCTCCGATCCCCTGAGGTTGAAGTTCAGTTTTCTGTAAACCTTGCAGGGAAGGGGAAGGCAGAGGATAGTAAGAGGCCAGGAGAAGGGACCAGAGGATCTTTCCTGCTAAATAGGAGCCGCAGATGAAGCCAGGGACATGTGCCCTTCCACGCTGAATCCCGAAGGGTGCTCCGAGCACGGAAAGCGCCCCGATTGCTGTGTGAGTAAATGCAAGCAAGGGTTACCCTCCCTCCCCCCTGCACCTGCCTCGCAGGGTCTGGCCGACCTTCTTACACCACGTTGGAGTAAGCCGGCTCACTCCGGAGAGGTCGTTAGCAAAGGACGGCGCAGTGAGAGGGATCGGAGCGCTGTCGGGGGTGTCGGCCATGGCTGAACACCCACGGGTGGTTGGAATGCGGACAACGGGGCTACTCGGAATGGTTGTGCAATGGGCTTTCGGTTCAGAGGGTGTTTTCGGTAGGTCCCATCTCCCGGTCCTCCAGAGCCCTCTTGTATCAGAATATTGCAACGGAGTTGTCGGAAAACTCAGAAGGCTATTTCTCAATAATCTCTAACCCTGGCAAACAATACATAGGACGATGGATGTGAGACAGCGAGGGTAAAAACTCATACGTCACCCAATCTGAGATTTTTTTTTTTTTTTTATTCTACAGGTACTTCCTTGCCATTAGTAAACATGGCAACTCGGCTCCCTGATTCCCTTCAAGTTAACCTAAAGTGGCCAATAGTCAACATGGCCGCCCGAACGTGAATTCCCATTTGCCACAGCCGTGAAGCCCCGCCCCTCTGAGCGTCCAAGGGAATAGCGGAGCGGAGTATTGCGGCTCGCGGCCGAGCTGCGCCTGCGCAAGTCATTGGCGCCAAGATGGCGATGGAAATGAGGCTCCCGGTAGCTCGCAAGCCCCTCAGTGAGACCCTTGGTCGCGATCCTAAGAAACACCTGGTGGTGCCGGGAGACACGATCACCACGGACACGGGCTTCATGCGGTACGTGGGGACTTGGGGGCCCGGGGTGCAGCAGGGCTCTGCACGTGGCCTCCCGTCCCGGCACTTGGAACCCCCTCGCGGTGCCGCTCCGGAGCATCCCAGTCACCTGGTTTCCGAACCTCGTGCTCCTTACTCTCCGCATCTTGTGTGTCCCGGCCTGAGTAGCCTCAGCCCCCAGCCCCCCTCCCGAGCTCTGGCGACCATGACTTTGGGATCCTCTGCCTGGAGACCAGATCTTCGAGCCTTCATCAGGAGAGGGGAATGGAGAAGATTCGGAGCAGGGTCCCCTACAGTGTCCCCTGTCTGAAGGAACTTTGGGCCCTCCTGGCCTGGACTGCCCCTTCAATGACACCTCGGAGCCGGAGTTTTTGTTTTGGAATCAGTAATTGTTTGGGCTTGGAGCGGACAGATATGCGGTGCTAGCTGTACCCAACTACACCGATTTTACGTGCAAGGGCAGACACAGGTGATAGTTTGGAGGCAGGCTCTTTGAGTCAGCAGCGGGTTCCCGTGGTGTTACCTCTCCAACCTGAGTTTCTGTAAGATATTGATAACAGTAACTATTTAATAGGGTAGTGAGGATTAAATGAAATAGCAATATAAAAAAGAAGCAAAACCTACCTTTACATTATGAATGTATAAGGAGGGGTACCTCATTTATAGCCTTTAAACTTTTAGTTTTAGAAATTCTTGGGATTCATTTCCTCATATGTTCAACATACATTTATGTTCTTTGTGGTTGGGGTAATAGTGAACAAAGTGGAAAAAGCCACTGTCCTCGTGGAGTCTTATATTCTAACAGAGAGAGACAGATAATAAACAATAAATGCATCAAGTTAGTTATTCAGAATGTTTGCTGATAGATGCAGTGGGTGGGGAAGTGAGTGGAATGAGGCTAGGAATTTGGTGGGATGGTGGCAGTAGGGTAGTATTATTTTAAATGGGGTAGAGAAGGTAAGCCTGCTGGAGAAGGTGACAGCTGAGCACATGTAAGGTGCAGATGTCCAGGTAGCTTTCTGGAGGCTCTGGGCCGGGAGGAGCCTGTTGGACACATTGTTCTTGAGGGGAGAGATCACTTCAGGTGTTAAACTGGTATCCTTTCTTTGTTTCCTGGTCTTGCAACAGGGGCCATGGAACATATATGGGAGAAGAGAAACTCATTGCATCTGTGGCTGGCTCTGTGGAGAGAGTAAACAAGTTGATCTGTGTGAAAGCTCTGAACACCAGGTGAGAACAGAAGGTGTGTATTTGTTGCAGCATCCATACTGTACAACTAGGACTTTTCTGTCACCCCTTATCTTCCAAGCGCCACTCACTTGCCCTATGCTGCTACAGATCTGCAGTTTTCAATGTGACTATAAGAATGGTAGTAGAAATTAATGCAGGCTTCAAAGGTTTCTCTATGTCATCTGACCTCTCCAAGCCTTGCAATGTGAAGACAATAAATAATAGCATGACCTACATTAGGATTTTTCTGAGAATTCAATGAGATGGTACATTTAAAGTATTAGCACAGGGCTGGTCAATGAAGCCTTCCCAAAAGGGAAGCCAGTGGGGTTGGAACCGAATGAACAAGGAGGAAAGCAGGGACTGAGGGGAATGCAAGGTTGACCTGTCTGGCAGTCATTTAATCTTTTAATCTTCCACTCTGGGAAGCCACTGGAAGGGGTGCAGCTGAGGAGAGTTCTGATCTGACCTAGGTTCTTTGAGACAGGGTCTTACTTTGTTACCCAGGCTGGTTTTGAATTTGTGGGCCCATGCAGTTCACCCACCTTACCTCCAGAGTATCTGGAACTATAGGTATGTACCCAGCTTGACTTAGGTTTTAATCAGATCACTCTGGCTGCTATGGGGACATTGAAGGGGGATAGGAAGGGATTTAGGGAGATGGAGTAGGGGATCAGACTTATCATCTAAAGTGAGGACAACTCGGATTAGGATAGCAAAAAGTGGGGAGTTGTGATTAGATTCTGCATGTATTTGTTTTCTGAGGTTTTGTTTTATCATGAAAGGGTATTGGATCCCAGTTCTTTGGGATTACCTGTTTTTAGGACCAAGTGTCATCTGGGAATAGAGATGGTTTTACATCTTCCTTTTCCATTCAGATGCCTTTTATTTCTTGGATACATTTTAAGGGTAGAGTCAGCAGAATTTGCTGCTGGATTTTTCAGTGTAAGAAACAGAAAAATCAAGGATAACTCTCCAAGGATTTAGGCCTGAGCAACCTGAGGTACAGAACCACTGTTTACTGAGCTGGGAATGACTGGGAGGGGAACAGCTTGCTATGGAAGAGGGGAGTGGACTGCTAGAAAGCATGTTTTAGCCTTGCTATCTTTGAAAATGTCCATGAGGTGTCTAAGTGGTGATGGTGGGTAACTAGCAATTGAATAGAATCTGGGATGCAGGGGTGTGTTATTGTTCTTAGTGGTATTTTAAAGCCATTACATTGGGTGAACTCACCTTGAGTAAATAAGAAGTGATCTAAGGCCTGGGCCTTAGTTTGGAGCACTTCATCTTTACAATCTAGGATGAGGAAATTGCAAAGAGGACTGAGTTGTGCAGGCAGCGGCTGGGGAGATGGAGAGCATGGGGCCCTTCAGGTAGTGACCTATTTTCAAATCTCCTTTCTCCTCCTTTGGCCAGTGCAGAACCCACCTCTGTTCTACAGGAAAATATGCCTTGCTTTCCTCTGCCATGTAACCCAACAAAATAGGGATCTTAGGCAAACAAAACTATTTCCAATGAGTGATTTGTTTAAGGATAGTCAATGGAGATTTATATATGTGGGATATTTGAGGTTATTAATTCCTGAAAATAAGTCCAAATACATAATTTTATGGATTTGCTAAATGTGGCCCGTAATCAAATCTCTCATCCTTGTTTAACCAGAATCTCAAAGGGTGCTTAGTGTTGTGAAAATCTGTTTATTGATGAATGACTTTTTGTTTTATCTTTCAGGTATAATGGTGAAGTAGGAGACATTGTAGTGGGGAGAATCACAGAGGTAAAGTTTATCAGAGTGAAGGCCAGCTGGTGATTTAAGGAGTCGGATAGTGAATGCATTTGGCTGTCGTGTGACCTGTGGCTTGTTAGATTTGGGATTATTGGTCACTTATGAGGCTAGCTCTTGCCCTTGGAGTATGTGTCCAGGTGTGGAACTTTTTTTGTAGGTTCAACAGAAGAGGTGGAAGGTGGAGACCAACTCCAGGCTGGATTCAGTTTTGCTTCTCTCATCCATGAATCTTCCTGGAGGAGAGCTGGTAAGGGCTGCAGCTGGGTCCTGGAGGTGTGCAGTTGGCTAGTGAGAGCTGTGGTGTCTTTTGCCCCACAGGAGAACTTTGCTGAATGCTGAGCTCTGTTGTGAAGTTTGCTGCCTGGACATATGTGTAGGCTGGCCCAGGTCTTACAACACAGGCAACAACTGTTCTGTGGTAGAGTCAGAAACATCCATGGGGTGGGATCCTAAGAGATGGCTGGAGAGAGAGGCTTTTAAATCTTGGTGCTAATAATTTTTCTGGGTGTATTAGCTTTGCAGTGAAGGTATTCCTTGTAAAGTTGTTTTTAGATTAGTTTTTGTGAATCAAAGGGCATTTGGTTAATTTCAGACAACTCAGTCACTAAGCTGCAGCCTTTTGTACAATGCCACAGTCAGTCCAGCGTAGTTTACAGGGAGGCTCACCGCACTGGTCCTGTGGAGGATGCAGGTAAAAGGAGTACAATTGAGTTCCTTAAAGAATGTGGGTGTGAGAGGTCTGACCCACATACCTGGCAGGATGTGGTGCAGAGTTATTAATCCAGTGGGAGAAGCTCACAGGAAGGACTAGCCTTACTCCTTGAAGGATGGAGAGAATTTAATGAGCTTAGGGAATCTGAGGTGACAGGAAATGTGTGGGCAGAGTCAGCCAATCAGGAGACATTCAGGCCTTGCTGGAGCTCAGGAGCTATCATGGAGGTTGAGTGGAAGCAGTAGGCTGGGTGAGTTTGGGAGGGTTTCACAGTCAGACAAGAAACTTTAATGTTACTCAGAGGATGGAGAAGAAAGGAGAAGTGGAGCTGGGAATCATGACGTCACTCTTGTTCCCCTCCAGTGGCTTGAGTTACCTCCTCTTACTATGGTTCTTAGAGTTTGAGTCTCATGTTGGCTTCAGTGATCTCAAGAGGAAGTGAAAGAGAAAGAAGCAATGGAGAGAGATCTTTCTCAGGATCTGGCTTAAGTAACCAGGTTGTTTCTTTGTGTATTTCAGAGGAGAAGATCTGCAGAAGATGAGCTTGCAATGAGAGGTTTCTTGCAGGAAGGGGACCTTATCAGTGTATCCTGTACATTGTGTTTCACCCTTCTGGTGCTTTCCACTGAGGCTGGACATGGGACTTGTGTTGCTTTGACAAGAGGAACTTAGAATCCTTGCAGGGGTCTGAGTCCTGGGTCAAGTCTGCTGCTGCGGTGTTTCTCTTTCCCAACTCTTGTTTATACCTGCTGCCAGCTCGTTTCTTTGGGTCTTGTAACTCATGATGCCCATGCTATAAGCTAGACTCAAGTTTTCTTTTTTTTTTTTCATTTTTTTTTATTATAGATGAACACAATACATTTACTTATTTATTTTTATGTGGTGCTGAGGATCAAACCCAGGGCCTCACATGAGCTAGAGCACTCTACCATTGAACTACAACCCCAGCCCCTTAAGTTTTCTTAATAGTGTTAATTTTTTTTAAAAAATAACTTTATTTATTTATTTATTTTTATGTGGTGCTGAGGATCGAACCCAGGGCCTTGCACGTGCAAGGCGAGCGCTCTGCCACTGAGCCACAACCCCAGCCCCTAGTGTTAACTTTTATCTTGGGGAATTGAAAAAAATATTGTTCATATTAAGATAACTCTTGTTCTCATCAGCCAAGAGGAAAGTGAGGTCACATTGAAGTCCTCAAGGTTCAACAAGACATCTGAGGTGGACTATTGGCGATAGGAGGGAAAGATTGAGGCATGGAGCCAGGGAGACCAGTGACGTGAAAGTGGGCAGCTGAGGCTTCTGTTTGTTCCTTGATTACCCTGGCCAGGCTGAGGTCCAGGCAGTGTTCTCTGATGGAGCTGTCTCTCTGCATACGAGGAGCCTGAAATATGGAAAGGTAAGTCAGGCTCTTGCCGTTCCTGTTAGCTGACTGAGACTTCAGATCCATTTCCAAATCCTGTAGCTCCCTGACATGCTGACCTAAAGAACGCTGGTGGTGGGGCTGGGGATGTAGCTCAGTGGTAGAGTGCTTTTGTATAGTATAAGTGAGGTCCTGGGTTTGATCTCTAGCACTGCAAAACACAAAACAAATCAACAAACCAATCTAGGTAATTACGCACTAGCCACTAGCATCCCATATTCTGCTGGTGTTTCCAGAGCTCCATGGGAAGAAGATGGTTTTCACTGGTTGGGGACATTGTAAAGGGTGGTGACTTTTATCCTCTTCCACCCAAAGAGCCCTTCTGCCCCTCTGAGGGATGCTGCAACATGGCACTGGGGCCAGGCCAAGAGGCTGTCTGTAGAACAAAGGGAGACTGAGGCCTGCACAACAGGGGCGGTCTCAGCACCTAGTAGTCCAAGCAGTGAAATGGATGTCACTGATAGCAAATAAAGGGATTTTTACTGCTTTTCTTCTATATAGACCTTCTAAATGAAATTTCACTGCTTTAAAGACTCTAAATGAAATTCATGATTTTTCTTACATGTGACTGCATTATTTATTATTTTGCAATAATTTGTGTAGTGGGTGTGGATTGAACCCAGGATGCTCCACCACTGAGTTACAGTCGGAGCCCTTTTATTTTTTATTTTGACACAGGGTCTCACTAAGTTGCTGAGGCTGGCCTCAGACTTGACCCTCCCTCCTAGGGTCACAGGCAGGCATGCACTACTATGCCCAGCATGAGGTTACTTTTTTGAAGCTATTTGTTTATTTTATTTACTTTTTGGGATACTGGGGATTTGACCCAGGGACAGTTTATCCCTGAGCTACATTTCCAGTCCTTTTTATTTTTTGAGAAAGGGTTTTGCTAAGTTGCTAAGGCTGGTTTTGAACTTGCGATCTTTGTGTCTTAGCTTCCCAAACCACTGGGATATAGGTGTCTGCCACTGCACCTGGAGATAGCATATGCATACTTCCTAAAATGCATTATGATTTATTAAGTCTCTTGGCTTTATCTGGGTGAACCTGTTCAAGTTCTGAGTGGAGGAAAAATCTTTCCCTTATGTGTCTGGCCACCCACACTCCTGTACGTGAGGTAGAGATGGACCTTGCACAAGCCTGTGTGCTGCAGAATGTGGATCTGGAGCTGGCCTGCCAGGACCAGGCATGGGTTTGTACCCAGCTCTTCAGTGGTGCACATCTCATGGGCAGGATGGGTGTTTGGAATCAAGCTAGAGCCATGGAACAGGACAGTGTCCTGGGCAAGGGGGACTCCAGTGCATCCCAGTCAGCTCTAGCTTCTTTAACCAGCACACCTGCCCCAAACTAGAATGTGATGACTGCTACAAAAGGAAGTGACAGAGTATCAGTAGTTACCTTCTTTGGAATATATAAATAGCCTCTGTATATACACGTAGAGGACCGCAGTTATTAATGAAGGACGCTGACTGGGATGTAACAGGGATGTATGTTCTGTAATCTGTTTTCAGTCATCTCACTGATGGTCTACAGTGACTACCCTGTGATCTTTTTCTTTAGCTAGGTCAGGGTGTTTTGGTCCAGGTTTCCCCTTCCCTGGTGAAACGGCAGAAGACTCACTTCCATGACTTGCCGTGTGGTGCCTCAGTGATTCTGGGTAACAATGGCTTTATCTGGATCTACCCAACCCCTGAGCACAAGGATGAGGACGCAGGGGGCTTCACTGCAAACCTGGAGGTGAGTGAGTGTATTGCTGCTGTTGGTGGTGAGGACGCTTAGTCTCTGCTGTGTTTTTTGTGGCAGAGTTCGTTGCCTTATTTTTTGGGGTGGTATTGGGTGCTTTCCCACTGAACTACCTCTCCAGCCTTTTTATTTTTTTTATTTTGAGACATGGTCTTGCTAAATTGTTCAGGCTGGCTTTGAACTTGCAATCCTCCTGCCTCAGCCTCCTGAGTTGCTAAGAATACAGGTGTGTACCACCACACCTGGCTTTGTTGCTTTTTAAATTACTCTTATGCTGCATAGCTATGGTGTTTTGTTCTGAGAAATGCAGTGTTAGGTGACTGTCATTGTCGGAACATTGTACTGTGTACTTATAAACTAAGATGGCTCCAGCACTACCGGGTGGTTTAATCTGTCATATGCGATCTGTTGATGACTGAAGTGTCACTGTACAGTGCATGACTGCATGAAGACTGAGTTTGAGTTTCCATTTAGGAAATTCAGTTCATAACATTGAATTAACTTCTCTTTTCTGAAGAGATAGATTCAATGACTGGTTTGATCTTTGCTGGGTGATAGGGCAAAGGTGCAGGGTAACAGCTAAAGAATCATTGAAGAAGCCACATTCTTCGTCTTTCTTGGGGGAGTCCCAGAGCAATTCTGAGTCACGCATGATCTCCTTTCTGCTAATTTACTGGGACTTTTCACTGTTTTGGTCCTATTTATATTTCCCTTCACTTCCTCTTTTGCCCCTTGTAGCCTGTCTCCCTTGCTGATCGAGAGGTGATATCACGGCTCCGGAACTGCATTGTCTCCTTGGTAACTCAGAGGATGATGCTGTATGACACCAGTATCCTGTATTGCTATGAAGCATCCCTTTCGCATCAGGTACTCCACCGGAGCTCCCTTTTTCCTCACTCCTCTGAAAGCTGCAACGGTGCTTCCTCAGTGTCCCCAGTGCTTCTACCATGCTCATCAGTAAGGACTGGCCTGGGGGGCAGCCTTACTGAGGCTTAAGGGCAGATCCCTCTTAAAGCCCTAAGCAACTTAGTGAGACTCTGTCTCAAAATAAGAAATTAAAAAAGGGTTGGGAATGTGGCTCAGTGGTTAAGTGCTCCTGGGTTCAATCCCTGGTATGAAAAAAAGACACTGGCAATATCTTCCATGTCTAATGTCTGGCTAAGGGTTTGGAATGGAGGTGCCAGGTGAGGCTCTCTTATGATAGTAAACCTCTATCCTCTTGACTTCATCTTGCCCATCCCAAATCTTAACCTTTTTTTGGCGGGGGGCGGGGGGCGTACTGGAAATTGAACCCAGGGACGCTTTACCACTGAGCTACATCCCCAGCCCTTTTTAATTTTGAAATAGTGCCATGTTCAGTTGCTCAGGACCTCAGCCTCCTGAGTTGCTGGGATTATAGGCCTGTGCTTCCGCACTCACTTGGCCATCTTTTAAGTGAATGTCAGAATATTTTTGTCGTTGTCACTCATGTCCCAGGGAATCTTGATTTCTTAAGCTGCTTCTGGCAGATCACATTCCATAGCACCAAGTGAGTTTCTGGTAAATGAACAGAGTGCAGAAGTTTTATGTTAACCATGCTTAGTTCCCGTGTTTTGGATGGCTTGATGGTCTCCTTAATGGTTGGTTTCTTTTTAGAACACATACCTTTTTTTCTGTCTTTCTCAGATCAAAGACATCTTAAAGCCAGAAGTCATGGAGGAGATTGTGCTGGAAACACGCCAGAGGCTTTTAGAACAGGAAGGATGAGGAGAGGCTCTTGAAGATGGGCCAAGTCACTGTGAGGTCCCCACATGTGCCCAGGGAGGATCCACAGACTCATTACTCATCTGCATTGCAGTTGAGGGGCTGGAGAGCTCCTGAGCCTGCTCTCTCTTGTTATGAGACAGCCTGGCGGGAACTAAACATTGCCAGACAGGCCAGTTCCCAGTGCAAAGAGGTAGTTTCAGGTCTTTTATCCTGTTGAGACGAATGGCTCCTGGAATAATCGGGTGAATCCTTTGTCTTCCACTCACCATCATTCACAAGGCACAAAGCCCCCTGAAATTACCCCATTAGAAAACAGCTTCTTGGGGCTGGGGATGTGGCTCAAGCAGTAGCGCGCTCGCCTGGCATGCGTGTGGCCCGGGTTCAATCCTCAGCACCACATACCAACAAAAGATGTTGTATCTGCCGAAAACTGAAAAATAAATTTAAAAAAACAAAACAAAACAAAAAAAACCCACAGCATCCCTGACCCCTAAATAGTGTGTTCTGGTCTCCACTCCACCTTTGAAGTTCAAGTGTTTGGTGAAGAATACAGTGGTGAAGTGAGGCCCACGGTCAGGGAAGAATAAAGTTCACCCAGCCACCTTTTGCTTACCCAGAATCTCATTTCCCACTGTATGTTCCTTCCACTGAGATGTGAGGAGTTGACACCAGGTCCCTTACTTAACCTGTCCTGCCTTTGAGGGGGGTTTATAAGAAGTTATTACCAATAATAGAATGAATGGAATGAATGTTCTGGGCCCATCATACTTTTGGGTGCCTGATAAACATGAAAAGTAACTGAGGAAAATGGAGATTGGAAAAGCAAAGCTGTTTTCCTCCTATAATTGAAGTAGTGACACATTCATTTTTGAATAATTTACAGTTAAAAAATAAAAACCAGATACTGAAGTTCTCACTGAGGAATGTTAGAATTCCTATCCATTGTTTTTCTGATAACTATTTAAAAATGGTGCTCTGATTTAGGTTTTCAGAAACATTTTTTAAGGCATTATATATGGAAGTACTATTTTATTCCACATGTGCGGTGAACTACTTTTTGATGGCTGTAAGTGTGCTCATGTTGGTTTCTGGGTAACAGCTAAATGCAGCTAGCTGAAGGAGGGCTCAGCAGACATAACTTCCATCTGAGGCCTTTCTACCCTACTTCTATTAAAACAAACCTAGGCTGTTTCAGTGGTAGTAACCAACCAACCACTGCCTTGGACAGCTCTGAAATACAGTTGGCTCTTTTTCATTACATGGTTCTTTATAACTCAGTTGACAACTTTTTAAAATCATTATCCCATGTGTCCCCTGTTTTGAGGAAAGTGAAGACAAATGAATAAGCTTTAGGCAGCATTGCATCGTTAGGTTGGCTCACCTGTCATGTTTTTAAGATTTTCCATTTGAGAGACAGAAATGATAAAGAGCAGAGCCTGTGTCCAGCAAGCTCGTTCACCCACGCTGGTTCTTCATTCAGTTCCTGCTGAGGGGTAATACCAAGGTCTGAAAGCACCTTCTGGTGATTACCTGCTTTCCATGGCCCACTAGAGGGCGCCCTGGTTAAGTGTATTTCCAGTAGGTGTAAGAAATGGAATAAGCCGAAAATTTTAAGCTTAATGAGTTTTGCTTTACAAGAGTGAAGACAAAATTAGACGCAACTGAATCACTTTTAATGGAAACATGAGCTTAGAGAAATTTATTCAAGGGCTGGGGATGTGGCTGAAGCGGTAGCGCGCTCGCCTGGCATGCATGCAGCCCGGGTTCGATCCTTAGCACCACATACCAACAAAGATGTTGTGGCCGCCAAAAACTAAAAAATAAATATTAAAAGTTCTCTCTCTCTCTCTCCTCTCACTCTCTCTTTAAAAAAAAAGAGATTTATTCAACATTGGTCATTTGCTGGGCTCTGGATTCTAGTTTTAAGGCCTTAAAAGTATCATTCTATAGGGATTGAAAGAGTACAGTGCATCTTTAGGAAAAAAAAATAGGCTTGGGGCTCTCCTGAAACCCCCAAAACAGTGGAAGTGAAGAATGGAGATTAGGGATAATACTTTAGATGAAGGGTAGTGATCTCTCCTGTGACCATGAAGCATGTTTCCAGCTTTGTGGAAAATCAAAGTCTGGTCTGATTGGCATGATAACTTTATGAAGTAAGCAGCTAGGAATCCCGCTTATAGGCAAAGAAATCTGAGAAGTAAGGTGACTTGAGTAAGTTCATGAGTGACTGAATCAAGCACATTTAAGCCCTAGAGGTATCAGAAAGCTGGCCTTCAGAGGACAAGTAGGACTGACTGAAAGGTCATGAATCCAGAAGTCTAACTTCCAGCACTGAGGTTATCTTTTATTTGAATTGTTACCTATTTGCATATTGCCTGTCCCATGTATGCTCCTCAAGAATAAGGAGGTGTTTTTCTCCCCTTTGCTGTATTCTAGTACTTAGAATAGTTACTCAGTAAATACTTGTTAAATGAATTGTTAAGTGTAAGCTATGTATATTATAGAGTTCTGATTTGATTTCCCAATTTTAACCTAGACCAGAGAGTGAAGAATGCAGATGTGGAGGAAGTGATTAAAACATGAATAGGTTAGAAAAGTAAAAAATGTCACAAAGAAAAATTGGAAGTAGCAATCAGTATAAGATAAATCAAGAGGAACAAAGGCATTGAAGTTTGAAGAAAAATACTATAGATGAGAACTAAGGTTTTTATTTATTTTATTTTTTATTTTTTTTAATGTGATGCTGAGGATCAAATCCAGTACCTCATATTTGCGAGGCAAGTGCTCTACCACTGAGCCACAAAGCTATATCAACATGGATTTATGAGTTCCAGTTCTAAATCTTTTGCACAAAATTTTCATGTTTCCTATTGAATCTCCAAGTGGATATTTTCCTCTTCAGTAATCAAAGTGCCATTATCAAGAGTAAGTGCTATGGGGGGCTGGGGTGGTGGCTCAATGGTAGAGCACTTACCTAGCATGTGTGAGGCACTGGGTTCGATTCTCAGCATTACATATACAATAAAATCATGGTCCATTGACAACTAAAAAATAAATATGTATATGGTAAGTGCCATGTCTCAATATGGCAGAAATATTTCTAAAACGCATAGCTGAATGTACTGGCACTCAATGCAGCTGTGGTGCCTGTGGTATCAGTAGAAACTTCTGAAAAGTAATTTGGTAGCTGATGGTATAGTAGGAATACATATGTTTTGGAGCAAGGCCAATCTGGGCTGAAGTAATGCCTGTCACATTAGCCAAGTGCCTTGGGTAAGTCACCTTTCTGAATCTGTTTCCCCATCTGCATAATGGGGATAATATTACATGATAACCCTCACAGGGCTTTCATGAGTACTAAATGAGAATGCAGTCAATGAAAAGTGCCAACATTGCAGGGCGTAGAGAGGCACTGTGATGAGTGGGTCCCCTCAGAAATGGGTATATCCCAGTTAGGTGCTGCTCTATGGAGAGTGAAGAATGGGAACTTTTTAGTCGAAGAAGATGGGTTATGACAGGTGCTAGTTTGGTGTGTTTAGGTTGTTAGCTAGCTTGTAGGCCTGCAAAGCCTAATATGGGCATTTTGTTGTCTAACAAGCAAGAATGTCATGCAAATGCGTGTTCACCTGCGAAATGTTACCTTGGAGTTTCTTTCTGGCAAACGTCCATTTGCACCTGACACGCCCTCAGAACAAATGCTGTTGCTATAGTAAGCCAGCCTCCTGATCCCTCAAGAAACCATTAAATTCGCTAGCAGCATGTCGGATTTCTTCTCTAGTTCCATCATTGGTGCTTTTTAGGGAGTGAATGGGATGAAAGGGACCAAATAGCTTGGATTTCAAGGATCAAGCCAAATTTTCTCCCCTAAAAGAGGCTCAAGGAAGTAATCCAATTCCGGTTTTGGGAAAATCCAATCCGCAGTTTCCCCTTCGCTCTGGCTCTTCGGCCGAGCTTCGGGCGCCCGGAGAGCTGGCCAGCCAGGGGAGAGGCCATCGAGTCCACGGGCTCCCAGGCGGGAGGGGCAGGAGCGCTGGAGCGGAGAGCCGAGGGCCGGCCGTGTCCGTGCGGGGGCCGGGCGCCCCGCGGAACCACAGCTCCCGGCACGCCCCGCGGCCGCGCCGAAGGCGGTTGGCTATCAGGGCCGGTCCAGCTGCTCTCACTGGCCAATGGGATGGAAGAGAGGGGCCCGGATTCCCAAGGACCAATGGCAGTGCGGAGGAGGCGGGCGCTTCCTTACGCTCACCTTGCGCCCAGGAGAACCAAATTAAAAGGTCGTGCGAGGCTGGACTCTCACCTGCACCAAGACTACGGCAGAAGGTGCAGCGGCGTCCGCAGAAGGCGGCACCAGGGTCGCCCGGGCCTCGCGTGGAGGGCTTCGCACGTCGTCGGGGGCGGGGCTGGGGGCGGGGCCTGGCCTCGTTGTGGAGCGGCTCGTAATCCATCATGGCGGCCGCGGGGGTCGGTGTCTGTCTCTGAGCGGCGCCGGAGCCGGAGCCGGTTCCCGGTCCTGTGGCTGAGGAGCCCCTCCCTTGCCCGCGACCCCCACCGGCGGGGGGAGGCTGTGCCTCGGCGGAGCTCGGGGGATGTGACTGCGCGGCGGAGGCGGCGGCGACGTCCGGGGCCGGGGGAGGGGGTGTCTCGGGCAGAGACCCCGGGATCGGGGAGCCGCGGCGGCCGGGCCTCCTCCCCCCGTGGCTGCCCCCGGCTTGGAGCCGCGCGCGTCCTCCGGCCCGTGCTGCCCGCTCCCGCGCCGGGACGCCGGGGTGGTCTCACTTGCCCCCGACCGGGGACACCCGGCTTCTAGCTTGATGCGTGGAGGAGCGACGTCCCCGAGTAAGCCGCCCGTGCCCCGCCCCGGCAGCCGGTGCTCGCCCCCGCCGCCCCGGCCCCGGCCCACGCCTGGCCGCCGAGCCCCCCGCCCGCCGGAGGAGAGCCCCTGCCCACTGTCAGGCGTTCTCCTGTCCTCGAGGTTGCTCCCGCGAGCCTTGATGCCCTGACTTCTTCCAATGTCACCTTCGGCTCCCTCGGTCCCAGTGCAGCCAAAAACTTCAATGCAAAGGAAAAGCCTGGATTGGTTTCACAGGCCTTTTAAAAAGCGGACTTAAAAGTTGCTGGCGATGCATTGCTTCTTGTCAGAGTGGAGGGCAAGCTCGCTGAAATCTGGGTGACCCGTGCCCTTTCCCGGAGAGCAGGGTAGGGAAGGAAGAGGGGCAGGAAATTTGTTGGAAGATGGAGAAACCAAGATAGGGGGTTGGTGACTTCCACAGGAAAAGTTCGGAAGTAGCATCCAAGGACGATCGACGTTTCCTTTTTACTTGTGAATGGAAAAGACTGTAGGACTGTTGACCTAGCGTCGCCTGTGAATATTTGTGTTTAAATTTTTCTTCTTGGGGAGGAAAAAAAAAAACTGTTATTCAGCCTGTGAAACATACTTAAAATCAAGTTAAACTGCGAAAATAATTGGAACTCCTGTTTACATCTGTCAACCTAAAGGTCCGCTCCCCTTTGTCACAAAAGGTGTCTTTCTGTGATTGACCTCAGTTACGACTTGGGGAGATGCAATAAATGTGAAATCCCACGCATATATCCTTTTCCTTCTAAGTCCACTCACCGTTCTGGAAGATCTTGAACCCTCTTCTGGAAAGGGGTGCTTATCATCATTGCTTTATGGGGCAGCAGCCTGGAAAAGTTCTTGGGGACCAAAGAAGGCCAAGTTTGCCTGCCCTGCACTTTATCAAAGGAGCAGGGAAGAAGGACTCATCGAGGCATGGGGGTCCACACTGCAATGTTTTTATGGAACATGGTGAGTTTTTTTTTCAAGATTTCTGGTCATATTTTTCCTTATACTTTCAGCTTAGGCTGTCAAGGAGGTTTTTGAAACAGCAGTACTTGTGTCAGTTCCTTCCAGTTCTACTTAACATTTTTTGTTACTGTAGTTATCTCTCAGTTGCCGACAGAAACTTTCTTTGTATAAGAAAATTAGGGCTTTATTCAAAATCTGTTTGAGTTGCTTACTTCTTGCCTGATTGATTGAACTTTTTGTTCACTGTTGACCTTGGACAAGCCGTTTTACTGTTCCAGGGCCTCAGTTTTCATGATAGGGTTGGTCTTAAGTGGCTTCTTGGGATTCCTAGATATGTCATTTGCTTTAACTGAAGGCACAGACTTCCTCTAACTGCATGAATCCTCTACTATTTTTTCTGTAGAAAGCATTTATCCTATTCCTAAAGTGCTTTGTGTTCTAAAAAGTTAAGAACCACATCCAAGTTGACACTAGTATCCTTAGTTTTTTTCAATCAAAAGTAGGATTTGAAAATACTCACTTTTGTGCTCTGTGGAAAAGATTGAACTGGAAAGCAGCATTTCTCATGAATTGAGGACACACCTTCTAATTATTTTACCTTCCATAAGGAGTAACCCTTTCCCTACTGATGATATGTTGCATCTTCCTCTCTCCCTGTTTAGAATGACATTTGGGCAATAAAGATTGTCTTTGACACTTTTGTGAACATAGTTGGCATTTGAGTGCTGACAGTACATGTTACATTGTTCACTTCCAAGAATCCTGTGTGAAGTTAAAGCTGAGGGTCAGCTTAACTGATATGTGTAAAGAGGCCAGCCAGGATCCGTTAATTAAGGTCGTGTTTGTGCTGC